GGGCCCCTTCCCCCCGGCCCGCCTCTGGGCTCGCGTGGGAGGGAGCCAGTGGACGTGACCGTTGCCCTCGCGTGCCTGTCTGCTTCTCCCGGGCAGCTGAAAAGCCCCCTTTTCCCGGATTCACCCGGTGCACGAGACCCGCGTGTCTTAAACGTTTTTGCTCCCAGGACCCCCTCCCACTTTTAAAAACTACGGAGGACCCCCAAAGCGGTGTGGGTTATACTGATCGGTATTTACTGTATTCAGAATGGATGCATTCGTAGAATATTTATTGCATTATGCAAAACAACAGTCACCCTGTAGATATTAAATGAAATATTTTTCGTGGAAAAAACGTTTTTTTAACCAGTAAAAAATAATAGTGAGAAGAGGGACATCGTTTTACATTTTTGCAAATATCTTCAATGTCTGGCAAACAGTTTTGATTTTGCAGGCCCCTGAGAGGGTCTTGGGGGACCACCAGGGTTCCTCAGACCACAGTTTAAGAAACACTGTATTAAATCATAAATGTAATGTATTAACCCCGCAACGGAAACAAATCACTATTTTCACAGACCTGAGCTATGAAAAAACAAATTAAGATTTGTCCTGTTTGAGTGAGTGTGTGGACGGTCATTTGGTTGACTGTTGAGGAAAAGTGAATACAGTGGACTTCTTCTTTCCTAACCTCAAGCAGGGCAATTAATGTTCCTTGATTAGGACCTTCCGTGTTCTTAATTCCTAGCCACCATTTAACCAACGGAGCTACAAAGAGCTTACTTGTTCCAAAGCAATTCTGCTTGTGAGCTTCATGGTGTCATCGTATAAATAAAATGCTGAAGTAATTAGGCTTGGAGTTCAGTCTTCAAGGAAATTGTTCATTCTTTGTTGTTCTTGTACTCTCAGATTCTGCAAAAACAGAACAAAAATGTTGACAGCTATGAAAACGGCATAACAGAGCAATGAACCAGTGTGGTCACTGAATTGCGATTTTAAAATAAAGAGTTAAAAGGAGCACTGTCTGTCTTAATAGCAAGGTTTTTAAAAATCCAATGATTTCCTCTTCTTCCCCATCCTCCAGCTCTTCCAGAAGTGTGAATGAACCAAGGAGTGAAATTAGCACTGGATCCATACTCTTTCATCTGCAACAACATTGGCTGGCCCTGGAAGCAGGTCTGTCTCTTGAAACTCCAAACTGAAGGAATTTCTGTCTATTTCTTAGACGAAGATAGATCAGATAGTCCTCCCTATCCCTAAACTCCAGAAAAACAGAACATTGGGGGAGCCTGTGGAGTGGCTCTAAAAGTTGCCACCAACTTGTAATTTATATATTATTTTTTTTAAAAAATGGGGCAACCAAATTAACTGTCATTTAGTTTGATTTTATTTAATTAAAGCACATTGAACTTTTGCCCTGGCCCTGCCCATTTTGGGCAATGTGCTCTCTGGAGGTCAAGTGGCCAAAGACTTTTGCTTTTCCCTTTCTAAATGTCAATTTTTAAACTGTTTTTTGCAGCCTTCTAGATTGTGGACACATCCTGGAAGCAATTCACCTCGGCAGAGAGACCGTTTACAGTGGCTAACAGAGCACTATGTCCCAAGCGACCAAGCGCAAACATGTGGTGAAAGAAGTGCTGGAAGAATACGTGGTTCCTTCAGAGAGGCAGCAGATTGTCCGGGTGAGACCGTTGGCCTGGTCAGCAAGAATTTCTAAGAGCTTTATGTAGCACCCAGTGCCGTGGCTACAGGTCACCTGAAGGCAGCTTCGCACTTAGGTTGGATTTGTATGATTTGCTTGATCGTGGTTAACCGTGATTTGCAGTTGTAGGGGTCCTCCAAACTTGGTTTTTCATTTGCAGGCATTTCACGAAGATGTTAGCTAGGTGGGGAATGAAAGCCTGCAAATGAAAAACCAAGCTGAGAGAACCTTTACAACCCAATACTCCAACCCTGAGTTACGTATATTCTCTACAGCACTTTAACTTTAAGATGTGTGGACTTCAACTCCCAGAATTCCCCAGCTAGGCTGGGGAGTTGAAGTCCACACATCTTAAAGTCGCCAAGGTTGAAAAACACTGCCCTACAGTCAAAACAGTTATTCCCTCAGTCCTGTTACCTGGGTTTACATACAAGGGCAGGCCATAAATTGGCTGGGTTCCCTCAGCTTAGTAGACTAAAATGTGGTTGGCTAGTATAACGGTTCAGTGTGCCTTGTGAACACAGTGTCCACTGATCGGGATCAGCATCTTCTTTGATTAGAGAACCTGGAGCCTCTCCATTTGCTGTTCATTTTGTCTACAAATGCAGAAATTCAAGAGGTTTGCCCTTATTCCTCAGTGGTAGAAGAAATCTGGGCTGGTAACCAATCCCATAAAAAGGTGTTTTTCAGAGGCCCACAAGGTTGCATCCTTAACCATGGTTTACTCAACACAGTTTTCTAAGTTCAGATGAGATATGGAGCCATAAACTGCATTGCCTAGATTTGGATATCTGTCTAGCTCAGTGTTTCTCAACCTTGGGAACTTTAAGATGTGTGGACTTCAACTCCCAGAATTCCCCCCACCACAAAGCTGGTGTTCGGGGGTTCTGGGGTT